CCGAACACTCTTCTTCTCTCCTTCTTCTTCTTTCTCTTTTCTTTCTTCTTTCTTCTTCTCTACTTTGACCTAGAATCAACTAGGGTTTATTCACAGTAGCTAAAGAGAAAAGGACTCTAATGGAGTTCATCTTAGCAACAGGTGCAAAAGTTTCTGCATAATCCACTCTACACACTCGTGTAAACCCTTTTGCCACTAAACGAGCTTTATACCGCTCCACTGTGCCATCAACCCTATATTTTACTGTAAAAACCCATTTACATCCAATTGGTTCCTTCCCCTCAGGAAGATCTACCAATTCCCATGTGCCATTTTTATGCAAAGCATTAATCTCTTCATCCATAGCATCTGTCCATTTAGGCATCAACAATGCTTTTGCCACATTCTTAAGAATGGGAACACTGTAAATGGAAGAAATGAAGGCCCGATAGGAAGGTGACAGGTTTTGAACAAAACAATGAGGATCCAATTTTCCACGGGTGGGTGACAAGTTTTGAACAAAACAACGACAACCAAACACACAAGGAATAGAAAGAAGAGGAGCCTAAGGAAAAAGAAGTTGATGTGGGGATTTGCACTCTAACCAGCAAGAGGGCATATGATTAATGAGATAAGTAGCACAAATGACAGCCTCAAGCCAAAAACATTTCATGACATTCATATGAATTAGTAACCCCCGGGCCACTTCAAGAAGGTGTCGGTTCTTTCTTTCAGCAACACCATTTTGTTATTCAATATGTTTGTGGTACTTTATCTCAAGGACTATTCTTTTCTTCCTATTCTCCCATTAAGTTGAGGGCCTATGCTATCGCAGATTAGGCAAGTTGTCCTGACACCAGACGATCTACCTCAAGGTGGTGTGTCTTTATGGGAGACTGCCTCATTTCTTGGAAATGCAAGAAACAATAGATAATTTCTAAGTCATCTACAGAGGCTGAATATAGGGCTATGTCTTTTGTCTACAGTGAGATAGTTTGGCTCCAGTCTCTCCTTGCTGATCTTGGTCTCTATCTTCCCATTCCTATTCCTCTCTATGCTGACAACACTAATGCCATAAAGATTGCATCCAATCCAATGTTCCACGAGAGGACTAAACATATTGAAGTGGTCACTTCATTAGAGACTTGTTTCTTGCTGGTTCCATCTCTCTTCCTCATGTTGCTTTAGACTTGTAGATCATTAATATATTTATGAAGCTCATGACAAGATCTAGACATATGTTTCTTGTGGTCAAACTGATGCTTATGTTTCAGCATCAGTTTGAGGGGGAGTGTGAAGCAACCTTATGTATTGTATTACTATAGTCCCTATTGTACGTAGTCTTGTTTTTTTCATATTGTTTGCATTTCTATTTCATCCTCTCTAAAGTCTCTTTTGTATTTTCCTTTTTTTATCTTAGTCCTCAAGGACTCCTCTGTAATTCTTAATATTATTTAATATACATGGGTCCTTGGGGTGAGGGTCGAGGAAGCTATTTAGACATCCCTGAAACTCTTTCTCTCCTCTCCCTCGAATTGGTTTAGTGACATCCTTGAGACCAAGGAGATATTTTTCATAACAAACACATACAAGAAGGAGCCCCCATAGCTAGCGAACTCATTGACTCAAGGAAAAAGCGTGGAAAGGTAGGGCTGGTATGCAAAATAGATCTAGAGAAAGCCTATGATCATTTTAATTGGGATTTCTTGGACTACATGATGACAAGGATGCACTTTGGGTCTAGATGGAGGAGTTGGATGAAAATATGTATCACCACACCAATGTTCTTTGTTTTGATCTAGAGGTCATTCCAAAAGTTCTAGTGGACGGAGGCAAGGTGACCCTCTATCACCTTTGCTATTTCTCTTAGTGATGGAGGGTTTAAGCAAAACAACAGGGAGAGCTTATGATTTGGGCTGGTTGCAGGGTTTTAAGGCATGCTGCAATGGCACTAAAACCACTCTTTTACAGTTTGTAGATGACACACTTCTTTTCTACAATGCATCTTTTGATCAGGTGCTAAACCTGAGATAGCTTGTTGGGAACCAAGACCCAGATCCAAACCCGAGGCCCAGACCTCCAGTTACTCGCACCTACCTGAGGAAGAAGGCACGGAAGCAGTTTCAGCCCCCAACTGCAGCAAGCAACACGTCAGCTGGTCCCTCTGCATGAATTCATTAGAGCTCAGAGTCTGTTGTTAGAGCTCAGAGTATGATCATTGGATGATCAATTTTCAGGGTGGGCCTGTGCTTGTCCACACTTCAAGAACAATGGGCTTTTGCATGAAGGGGTGTGCTAGAAAATAAAACTTATTCAGGGACCTCACCTAACAGCTTAAACTTTTAGGTTTAATGGTCCCTTAAGAGTACTGATATTGGTATTGACACCTGAGATTGCATAGGACATTTAAAGTAACAATTTTTGTCCATTACCTATATAACATATGACTATTTTTGCAGATTTTTACAATATGAAGTTAGAATAATATTTCCAATCTTAGGGGCCATTATTTGGTGTAATGGTAAAAAAGTCTTATTCCAATTTTATGCTAAATTAAAACTTTCTTCTTTCTTTCTGTTTTTGTTTTTCTTTCACAAATTTCTAGACAAGATAATATTACATATCACAAAAATACACAAACCATATAAATTGCCAACACAAGAAAGCATGTAAGATGAGATCTGCCAACTGAGGAACTAGGAAACTGTACTCATTCTACAGGTCCGAAACTCTGTGTTCCAACATTCAAATGTTGTGAGGGACATTGGCAACAGTAGATATGTAAAATAGATAAGATTCAAACACAGGAACTACGCTTAATATTAATAAAATGGAACTTAAAGCATAATATCAATGTTATCCATATCAAAATTTTGGTAAATGACAAATTGAATCCTTATATTATTGTTGGTCTTCCACCTGTACCTATATCTATGAATTTTATGAATGGTATAATTTGAATAAGAAGGTTTCTTCAGATCCAATTTCTCTTGTGTGAAAGAGAGGTGAAAAGGCTTTTAAAAACCTTAATTTTGAAAGTTGTTTTATTGTTCTTATATATTGCTTTTAAATTGTATTAGTTACTTTGACATTTTATACATAGAATGGATTAGCAAAACAGGATTCATGTAGCCAACCCCATCTAGTTGGGATAAGAAATGGATGATGATGATGATGGCTTTGACATTTTATATGGTCATGTCCCCATATTGTGATTTCAAGAGGTTTACTAGACACTTGGAATCTAGGACATGCCAAGTAACACTACTAGAAGATCTCATTTCAAAAATGAATTGTGTATCAAACCTTCCAGCACCAGCAACAACAATCTTTTGCTTTGGAAAGTCTATCATTGGTCTTCCTTGTGCTCTCACAGCTCCCAAAAGACCAGCTATTGCAACTCCTGCTGTTCCCTGTGGTTAAATACACTGAATCATGAATTTAGCCAAGCATAAAGATATACTATTATAAGCCCTAAACATAAAGTATAATACATTCAACTCAAACTTGTGATTTGTGAATGACTTAAAGCACCAATTGCTGATGAACGCAAGCAACTCCATTAATACTATGAGCGTAAAGGTAAACTTGGTGGTTGGAGAGGAATGAATTAAATCAGCAGCAATCAAATTATACAAGAAATCTTTTAGTCCCAGGACAAAAGAAGAGGGATTCCTCATCTCCATTGTTTCAAATGTCACGAAATTTCGCTAATGTCGCCCGATATATGTCGATGTCGAGGCTCACCGACATGAAAATGGATGGTAATGTAAAAATTACATTATTTCAGTCGACATTTCCTATATTTCAGAAATGTCGACCAAATCGGTCCAAATTACAAAAAAAAAAGACAGTTTTTCCTATTATGTCAATAGGATGTCAACTAATGTACATTAATAATATAATATGTTTGTTAGAGTTAGCCGAATAAGGGTAGATTAGTCAACTCACCTTGGTTAAGTTATGAGCTTATGTGGCAGTCTTATTAGAGGTTCTCTGTCCCATACT